AAAAAGATTCATGTAGCCAACCCACTTACTGGTATTAAGGCATTGTTGTTGTTGTTGAGTTTTATTGTCATGACAATATAAGCACTACCTTTTTTTCTCTAAAAAAATTTGTTGGTCGAATTGATTATTTTTCCCTCCTTAGTGTAGAGTAGCATTTTAGGGGAGAATGTTAAGCGTTGCTTCCTTTTTTTTTTACTTCTACCGAGACATTTAAAAATAGAACTTTTTAGTTCTGCTAAGATAAGTTGACAGCATCTTCACCCATCGCGATCAACTAGTAGAAGCTATGAAATGAAATATATTTCAACATTATTAATCTCTTTCTTTATGAATTTTATGTATACTTACCATGCATATGCATTCATTAAGGTTATATGTCGAACAAGATATTAATTAGGGGATTTCATTCAAATGTTATTTAGAGCGATGATGGAAAATAAATCTCAAAAGGCTCAACTAATCACCACTTATTAATTTTAAATTTATAAAGTTATTTCCCCACAGATACTACCTGTCATTAGAGAATGCGTTCAAGTGCTTATTCAATTTGGGAAAATGATAATTATGGATGGAGTCTTTTTTGAATAAAGGATCTCACTGAGCTCTACTTATTGCCTCAAGGACCCGATTTGACTAGCGCGATAGAAATAAAAAAAAAAAAAAATGTTATTGGTATCTTATCTAACATGTAATATGAGGATTTACATTAGTGCATGCATATATAGAACATGTACACAAAAAAGTCTGAAAGAAACAAATGTGCACTGGTCATAAATATTTCATTACATAGCTTTTATTGGTTGATCATGGTAAGTATAGATGTTGCTAACTTATCTATCATGCAAACTTCAACTTGACTACAAAAAATATGCAATTCCATTTATAAAATTCTCAATAGAACTAAAAAAAAGGAAGTAGTGCAGAACATTTTCCCCCAAAATATTATTCTATAATGAGGAGTAGGGAAGAGCAAGCAATTTGACAAACAAAATTTCTCAGAGAAACTATAAAGCAATGCTCATATATCTATCCATGTTGGAATGCTTTAAGGTGGATTGGATGATTTTAACTTATTGAAAATGATTCTCAAGATTTGTATGATCTTATTACTTTAAATGTTTTTGTAGACCCGTTGGTTGCTCGATTTCCATTTACGGTGATGCTTTTGGAGTGCGATTTGGTGGGCACATTTCACATTTCCTATTAAATATTTAGTAGAGCAATGATGGAAAAAAAAGAATAAAAGGCTCAACAAATTACTAATTGTGGATATGAAAAAGAAAACAACCATGCTAATTTGGCACGGATACTGCCTAATTTTTATGCATGGAGAACACAATTGGTGATTCTTGATGAAGCTATTTTTGATATCTATAAATTAATTCTTAGCACTACATTCACTACTTATTTTCCATATTTTTGTTTTAGATTTTAGTATTGTTGTATTACATGCCAAATTATGTTGATACATTTTTTCTTACACAGATATCAGACGTGCAAACAAAAAAAAAGGTGGGATATCCACTATTTGGGAAAGGGGGATAGATAATTTTCTGTGATTTATGCATGAGAGTGGTAGAAAAGGGCAATATACAAACCACACATTTTAATAAGAAAGGTTGACAAAATATAACAAAACTCTTTCAAGAAAGAACTAGTAGTCTACACAACAAAACTCAATTGAAAAAAAGGGATAATATTAAGGATTGGAAGTTCTGGACGGAGATAAAGAGAGGGGCCACTGGTTTAAGATGAGACCCTAATAGAAAAATAGTTGATACACCTGAGGAGTGGCTGTAGGAAAAGATTTCAGTAAGTAGAACACCTTACATTCAATATTGCTTACTTTAAAATTTAGTTTCTTAGAAATCAAGATTATTAATTGTTTGTTTACCACATGCAAAAAAATTTAGACTTGCTCACATTGACTCGAAGCTGAAGGAGAAGCTAGATACTATATTCCTCGGTATTGTAGCAACATGAGTCAACATCTGGGCTACGACAGATGAGCCAACCCAGAATTTGGATGAACTTGGATTTGCTCATTCCAATGAAATCTACAAGGAACAATAGGATGAAAGAGATCACCCGGAGTCCAGGTCGCTTGGCCTGCACCCTTGACACAAAAAGGGAAAAAGAGAAGTAAAATTAAGGCAACTCATTTATCCCAATAGATATCACAGCTGGTGACAAACTGCACAAGTATTACTTTAAGTGCTTGCACAACTCTCCATGCATATCCAACAATGATAGATATCGTCAAGCTACTCGAGTCAATTCCAAAAATTTTATTTGTCCCTCTACTTATTTGCCATTAAAATTTTGGAGGATCGAAACAAGCAAGTAGCTTTCCTTACACTGCTCCCTAAATGGAGGATTCCTTAACTCCATTAATCTTTAGAGGGTCACACTAGTTAGATGGAATGCACATCATTTTTTTATTTGTTGCTAGTATAAGAGAGTGACTATTTGTAGCATTTGATATTTCTTTTGTAAACTATGGATTATGTGTACCATTTCTGACATTTCATTATTTGTGAATTTCTGTAGTTAAACTACTTTCATTGTGTGAAAGTTAAGCATTTATTTGTATTGAGAATAACATATTCATTTGAAATAAGATTAACAGTATTCTTTTAGACAAATGGAGCCACCAAATGAATAGGAGATTATAGAGATAATTGAGCAAGTGAGTCATTTCCAGCACGGTTTGTATGATTCATGAGTACTACCAGAGACTTGGTTGTAAAACCCATTATGTCTCATCGTCATCTGTGGGTGACAAATGGGTTGGTAAACTTATGGAAGCTCATCCAAGTCAGATTCACTGCATGCTCCTGTTGTAAAAAGCTATTTTCTATGATTTATTAGATGAATTGAAATCCAAATTTGGTTTACATGGACCTTCATGATTTACATCCCGAGAAGTCCTAACTATCCCGCTCTTCAAAATGATGCACAACGAATCCATCGTGTTGCTTCTGAGTGTACAACACTCTACAAGGACGATAAACAAGTATTTCCACATTGGAATTAACTCTTTAAATAAAATGACTAAAGCATCGTCAAACCGCTGGACCCATCTTTTACTCCAACACCTTGAAAAATTCGTAGTGATCCAATATACATGTCGTTTTTCAAGGTATTGATCTCGCTCTATATTCTTACTTCAATAAATCAAATAAAATTTATTCATAGCCTATATTGTGTCATTTTTTTATAATAAGAACTACATCAGATCAATTGATGGAATGCATGTTGACACACACATGAGGAATGAGAAAAATATAGCCTACATCGGTATGTGTGGAGTTGCTACACAAAATATATTAGTCTTATGTGATTTCAACATGTGTTTTACATCCATAATGGTTGTTTGAGGAGGGAGTGCAAGAGTTAACATAATATTTAAAATTGCAACCGAACGACCCAAATACAAAATCCCGACACCTCCACAAAGTCGGTGCATTTAACTAATCTATCACTATTATATTTCCACTTGCACTAATCCGCTAATGTTTTCATTATTAAGGAAAGTATTATCTTGTTGATTTGGGATATCCATTGCAACGAGATTTTTTGAAGCATTTCTCGACACGAGATATTACCCCTTCGACTTTGAGCGCAACAAACAAGTGATTAAAGGGAGGAATGAGCTTTTTAACAAAAGACACTCGTCATTACACAGTGTCATTGAACGAGCATTTAGTATATGAAAGAAGAAGAGAGTCATATTTGTCATTGAACGAGCATTTAGTATATGAAAGAAGAAGAGAGTCATATTTCGAGATATGCCTACATATTATTTCAAAAAATAGGTGAAGATAGTTGTTGCAACAACTGTGCTCCATAATTTATACGGAAGTATCCCTCCCAAGATGATATCAATTTCAGGGTCTTAGATGATGATCATACCTACATGCCTGAGGAAAGCCAACCAACATCAAGCCAGACCTCCGGTGTAAGAAGAGAAATGTAGGATGAATGAGTACAACACTTCTGAGAGAGAATGCGTCGAGGAGATGTTATAGTTGAGAGAGGACATTACGGATGCTTTAGTGAATGCAACGACCTTACTTGTATAACATCACCTAGTTATTTGTAGTTGATGATTCATATTTTATCTCTTTGTTTTTCCTTAGATGTATTTTTTTTCAAAATATATGTAGCAATTTGTGTTGTACATTTCTTTTTTGTGTACCGATAAACTTTAGTTCTTGATTTTAAGATGCTTATATTTTTTTTAGAATTTCTCGAATATTGTATCAACCTATTTTTTTACTTAGAGTAATATTCTATTATAATAACATGAAATACGAGCTTAAGATTATCCAACTTTTCTAAAGTTTCGCTCTTATAATGTGGCGATACGTGTGTTCATTACCAGTCAAGGAGAAAAAGCAGCAACACAGAAGATTTTATTCTTGTCATAGAAGCAGAACTTCTACAGATTGCGACTACTTCCGGTTTGATGACACTAATGAAATACTTCCAAACCGTGATCAGTTGAGGAGAGATGCATGGATGGATTGACCCGAAGTTTTGATTATCGAAATTTCAAGACGAACATTATTTTAGACTTACTTATCACTTTTGTTGTCTTAGGGTCTGTTTGGGGCAGCTTATAAGTGCGGCGGCGTTTTTGAAAACGCCGCTGCACCGTTTGTTTTGCACGACTATTAGTTTTTCTTAGCAATATGATATATTTTTATTATTTAGTTCTAAATATTTATGAAAAGTGTACTTATTTAAATTTATATGGGTAAAATAATTTTTTTTTATCAGAAATAACAACAACACAACAAATCAACTAAACAACTTTCTTGACAGTAATTGAAAAACTATTTATCTAGAAAATAAATTTACACACTTTAATATTAAAAAAAAGCAGCTGACGGCCCAAACTCAACCGTAATCACAAAATAATATTTTCAAAATTCAAGAAGTTTAAACACTTTTACACTAGCCGTGCCTTTTAGTACTGTAAACCAACCCAATCAGCCCTAAATCCAATCCCCACGGGCAGCTTTAAACCGGCGCTCATTCTCGTCGCAAAAGCTTCAGCCGCCGGATGGCCCAAGCTTTTCGGCGCTGCTTCTATATAGCGTCTGCTTCATACGGCCGTGCTACCAATCCCTTGCTCTTTGCCGGCCACGGTCTTCGATACCGGAATCGGAAGCTTGAGGTCATCCTGACCACGGTGAGCGTTGGGAGCTTCAGCTGATGAAAGGTGGCGCTTTTCATTCTTCTCTTATATATAGTTTTACTCATTTTCTCTTGTGGATTTGTGATGGTTTTAGGCGATCGACAAGCTGGGGAAGGCTGGAGAGACGGTGAAGGTGGCGCCTGGGCATTTCCGCAACCATCTCATGCCCAAAATGCTGGCCGTCCCCAACATACCCAAATTCGCATTTCTGATTAGGGAGCAACGCAAGGTTACAGTCCCCATTGCTTATTGCATTAAGTGCTGAGTTTGTTGATCGCACTTTATAATCGAAGAAGGCTTCTTGGAAAATGTTGGCCTAGATAATTCCCGGTGATCATGAGAATTCAAGTAAACCGTTTAGATTTGTATAGATATTTGCGTGTTTGGTTTGAGCATAAATTACCGTAGTAAAATGAAGTTGACAAAAGTTGATTTACTTAGAGTTATTTCACCACAAATTAACAACATTTATTTGTTAGATGTTTCTGTTATTCTTTTTCCTTAACTTCTGCTGCCATTTTAGAAGTTTTATATGTTTGAATGAAGGTTTATGAAAACTGAATGTTTTCTTCTTTTTTAACAAACTAGAGTTTTTGCGATACAAATAGTGATCAAGTTTTAATATTTGAGGGCGTTTAATATATTGATAATTACAAATTTACAATCAAAATGAGCAACCATGTCTAGTTGGTTAATGCTAACTATGTATTAAATTTTTAATTTTGAAGTATATTTTTTTCAACGCAAGCGTCCTCTTCTCTTATAAGGCTTGCTTGGGATTTCTATTAGCAGAAAGCTTAGCTACAGTAGAAAATAAAATTCTCTGTGGAGAGCAGATAATTTTTGAGGTGGCTCTCCGTATCACAAGCTTATGAGTTGTGACATCTACTACGAATTATGCCTTTATCATGCAGCCAGTTTCTTAGTTATTTTCATTCAGGATATCCATTTAATGGGTAAGGTTGGCCTAAAAGATCTAGTTCTGCTTGCCATGCCCAGGACTTACCTATGCTCTAGCCAACTAAATAACATAAATCATGAAAATGCTTAAATATGATATTTTCTTGTGGTAAGTTTTATTAAATTTTTTCTAGACTGATTTAGGGCCGGGAATTATACTTGTCAGAACAAAAGTTGTAGTGGTATAATCTGTCAAGATACTTGAATTGGCCTCATAATTGAAGGTGCTGGTTATGACAAGTTTTATTAATTTTTTTCTAGACTGATTTAGGGCCGGGAATTATGCTTGTCAGAACAAAAGTGGTAGTGGTATAATCTGTCAAGATGCTTGAATTGGCCTCATAATTGAAGGTGCTGGTTATGCAGATCTTATTACCAACATAGGTTCACTGATCTTTTGAAACATGAAGCCATGCATGACGTCTTATGTTATTTTAATATTTATGCTTACAGCCTATCTGTAAAGGTGTATAAGCTTGTTCTTCTATCCGATTCAGTTTTGATTCCAATCAACTTGCTGTTTATTTTCCCACTTTTACTTGAACCTTTTATTACTATAACTAGGATTCTATAGAATTAAATTGATGTTATGGTTTATTGTAAGAAAAGATGCTGCTGCTAATGTAAATGTGAATAAAGTTTCCATTAAATGCTTTAAAATGATATGCAATTTCTATTATATTCTTATTATTGCATTAACTTGCTTCTATTGATGTAATAAAAAATATTAATTTTATTGAGCATCTTGATTTTGTTTCCAATGTGAAAATTTCCTCCATTTTTCAATACCCCTTCTTTTGAATAGCTCTACCAACGTGAAGAGGAGGAACCAGTAAAAGAGTTGCCTAAAGAAGAAGAAGATACTAGCCAGGTGGTTATCTACAAAACCTTCCTCTCATACTCGTTGCTCATTTAAATGATGTTTGGATGGTTGAAGCTTTATATTTTCTTTTTCAATAATAGATAATTTCACTTTTTGTGCTGTAACTAACGATTATTCCCTGTTTATATGCATCTATTCTTATTTGTCACTTTTGAATGTAATCATATAATTTGTGTCCACCATTGATTTTGTAGATAACCAAGTACTTACAAAAATGCACATTTAGGATTTTTTTTTTCTAAGAAACTATGTCCATTACTATAGAATACTGATTGACGCATACAAAAATTTGCAAGAGAAAGACTTGCCTTTTCTATTAATATAGTTTCTAGGTCCCCATGGTTTTGCACGAGTTCTATTTAAGAAAAGTTTGCAGTAAGTGCTCCAGCGGAACCCATGTAAATGGTTTTGCCACTAAGGCTTTGGTGCCCTCTGCCAGCAGCTTATTTCCTTCCATTGGTTCTTGACCATAGCAGCTTCAGGTATTCTGTCTTCAACTGGGAGAGGACATTTTTTTCATGGTTGCTACTGCAGCTCTCTATACAGATCCTGTGGCTAGAAGGGTTGAAATCGCGACCTGTCGGCATCCATGGAGCCAGCAACGGACTTATATGCAGAGATAGAACTCCTTGACAGCCTTGGCGGTGTCTCTAATTTTTATGTAGTCTGACATTTTTGAAATTTCTGACAGTCTTAGTAGTGCCTTTAATTTTTATGTAGCCTGAGGCATGAGTCTTTTGCTGTTTTTCATTTTTCGTGATCTGAATATGGAACCAATTAAGTAGTGGAGGAAAAAGAAAAATAAAGAGTAAGAGAGTAAATAGGAGTGGAGAAGAAAATCTTCACATGGAAAGGAATTGAATCATCTCTACACCATGGTTGTAAGAGTTTGTTTGTAGCTATACCTCAAGGTATGTGTAAATTGTAATTTACACAAGTATCCCCAAAATAATGAAACTACTAATAGCTCTGTACTAAAAGAACTACATAAGAATTAAAGGACCAATACAACAATTTTCACCTTAGTTCTTTCATTCACAAATATCCAAAAAAAAAAAAGGTTCAAGACTTTTCTTTCACCATCACCATACTCCACAACTATGAGTAATACTAAAATTTTGAGAATTGTCATAGATTTTGTCAACATTATTTAATTCATTATTATTGTTGAAATCTTACAATCTCCACATTTCCATTAACGCACTATTTAATGAACGGAGCTTAACACCCACATGCTTAGTCCTTTCATGGTACATGAGATTCTTGGAGAGGAATATTATCCATTGAGAGCAAAATACAAGCATAGTTTTGAGTGTGACTGAATTAACAATGAAAAATTAAACTTTCAATCATACTTTTATGGCATTAGATGCAACAATATATTCAGCTTGAATTCGTAGATAGTGCCACAACTACCTGCATGTTAGATTTCAACTAGAGCCATTTCTTGGATCTAAATCTAAGATCAACAATATCTGAACTCTATCATAGCTTTCCACCATTGTTATAACACATCCTCCATATCCAATTTTTTCTTTATTCTAGTTTCTCCTCTTTAGATGTTACTTCTTGAAATAACCTTCTTTATGACAAAGAAACATTTCCTTTTTATCTTTGACTAGGATCTTTATTGGTTCTTAGACTATGACACATCTTTTTTAATATTCCTTACACAATTAGTATTTTAGATACAATATCTTGATTAGATATTATTTTTTTTGAATTTTTGGCTTTACTGCAACTCTTACTTAAGAAATGGCAAGCAATCTGATGTGGAGGTGTCAGTACTTGTGTTTCCCCCATTATGTCACAGTTTAATTTTTGTGTTTTAGTTATGTTTTTGTGTTTTTTTCATTTGGGTGACAAACTTGTAATAAAGGTGTCTTAGTGCTTATAAATAGGGAATGTTTTGTGTTTAGGGGCATATTTTAGTTCTAGCATTATGAGTGCCTTTCTTTTGGAAAGGTTGAGCTACCCGTTCAACTTCCTTGCAGTTGTATCCTGGAGTTGGCAGCCCATGTAGTGTCATGCCGTGTGCATTCTTGTGCTTAGTGTATATCAGTAATATTTCTTTTGTTGTTTTTAGCCTCTAGAATTCTTCTCAGTGATTCTTTATTATTTTTTTTTGTTGAAATTTTGCACTCGTACCCATTATCAGTATCATTTGGGTGTCAGAGTTTTGGCTTCTTGATCCCAATTCTTACCAAGACTGTAGCCTTCCCGGTGGGTTGCTGAACCTCCGTCCAAGAATCTCCAAGCAAAGTTCTAGCCATAGATTTCTAGTTTGTTGAAAGCATTGTATTTTAGCATGCCTTTTGTTTTCTTGTTTTCTTCTGTTGTTGTTTCTTTTTGATGTTTCTTGCCTGTCTGTTCTTGCTCCCATCTTAGGAATCAAGTTTTTTGGATTCTTTCACGTGCTGTTTAGGCATGAGATTTTTGAACTCCAGAATTCTGCTTGTGCATGGTCATTTTTTTCTTGTTCGTGTGGTTGCTACTTCGAATTGGCATCCCACCAAATTCTGATATAGAAGGGGACATTTTATGTCTTCTTGTTTTCTTGGTTGTGCTGCTCTTTCACCACCCTCTTTCCTTTCCTCTACAACTATAAAACAAAATAACATGTTGCCACGAAGAAATATTGCAAATTTCTATCAAGAACTTGTATTAGAAGGTTTACATTGCGAGACCTTGTGTCTTCAAGAAAGAATAATGGTTCTTAAACAATGAAATTTGGAAGACCATGAGGTGGATCAAGAAAATAAAATCCATGAGGAAGAAGATGAAAAAACACTTCATTAAGAATCGTGAAGTTTTGATGGGTTTGAAGGTTCAGTGTCAGAATCATTGTGGATATCTGTATATGATCGACCCGTGTTTGACGAGTAGAGATGCACTGGAGTTCCTAGAGCAAAAAGCTCTTGCGTCGACGTTTGGCAGCACGATCCAGTGGAGTTCATTGGGAGCACCATTCAAATTATAAGGGTTCTTTCTGTCGCTAGTGAAGTATATGATTCTTATCAAATCTCTTGCGTCCTATTTCTGTTGACACAAATTACGTCAATGTTGAAAATGATTCCGAAACAATCTAACTGACAATGCTCATTACCTCAAAAGCTAGCGGTCAATTAAGCAATACATTATCTTGAAGAGCAACTAAGCTTGGATGAATATGTGAATGAATATGCTGATAACATATTAGTAAATCTTTTTCTGGTCCGTATTAATGAACATAAAAACCTTGAAGATCCAACACACTTAGATGGGGAAATAGGAAAACTTCCATAAACTACAATAAAACCTTGGTCCAACAATATAAAATGCATGATATGATTAATATGTAAACGAAAAACTGAAGTGTTTAGTGCTGGTTTTGCATCATGACGGGAAAATCTTTCCTTGGAACAAAATGCTGAAATTTAGTTCATATTCAACAAGACTCGGTTCTCTTGAAAATAAAGAATCATGCAGTGAATTACAAGAGTTTGAATTTTGCACCAAATCTATTGCTAGTTCCTTTGAACCTTCAACATCTTGTGAATGAATCCTAAACTTTTGTTGTTTGTAAAATTTTTTTTACGTTATTTTATGTCAATTTGATGTTTGGCGTGTTGTCAAAGATATCACTAATTTTGACGTATTAGCTGAGACAGATGCTTGGATCATCGATCTTGACCTACCCGGTGATTAGAACGACTCCATCATTTTCAATGTCTCCAAGTCCAAATTGGAGACCCAATTCAAATTTTCTTTAATCCCGAGAGAATGGTGTGGAAGCATCAGAACTACTGTTAACATTATTTTAAAGATCAGTTTTTTTGTTGTAGTTCTGTTTTTATGTTTTTTTCCATTTGGATGACAAACGTGTAATAAGAGAGAGGGGGGGGGGGGGGTTGGCGCTTATAAATAGGGATTGTTTGGTTTTAGAATTAAGAGTCTCTTTCTTTTGAGAATGTTAGGCTACCCGTTTATCTTCCTTACAACTGTATCCTGGAGTTAGCAACCCTGGTGATGTCTTGTCATGTTTATTCTTGTGCTTCCTTGACATCAATGGCATTCTTTTTGTTTTGGTTTTTATGTGTTTTTCCATTTGGATGACAAACTTGTAATAAGAGAGGGGGTGCGTTAGTCCTCATAAATAGGGATTGTTTTGTGTAGATTTTCGTTTTAGAATTAAGAGTCTCTTTCTTTTGGGAATGTTGGGCTGCCCGTTTATCTTCTTTACAGCTGTATCATGGAGTTGGCAGCCCCGGTGGTGTCTTGTCATGTTTTTTCTTGTGCTTCCTTTGCATCAATAGTATTCTTTTTGTTGTTCTTTGTCTCTAAAATTCTTCTCAACGATTCTTGATTGTTATTTTGCTGAAACTCTGCACCGATACCTATTGCCGGCATCACAATATATTCCATAAAGTATAGTAGCTACGATACATTCAGAAATGCTTAATTTTCTTCATCTATAAATACATGTATGCTTTCAAATCAAGAGCTATTTGATTAAAATTATCAACGCTATTATTCACTGGTTTGGAGTAATGCATTTGCAATTTATGTAGTTTCTTCTTGAGATACAGGCAATTGGCGAAAGAAATCTTGACATTCAAGGATTTTTAACCTTATCTATATGTTGATGGATGCTCTTTCATGTGCAATTCCATGAATAATCTCAGCTTCAAAACTTAGTGGAATTGCATTATGGGCTTTGTTCAACGCTTCTCAATGCAATCTTTCTTCTACTTTCAAGTTTACCTCTTTTTACTGAGTTGCATTCAAGCCTTAGTGCACAAGAAGTGCCTTCATTTCAGCTTCTGAAGGTTGAGATCATTGAGACTAGTGAACTTTTCAATCTCAACCTTGGCCATTGACATCTTGATTTTCTAACCTTGTTTCTCCGTTATCTGGCTTTGATGCCCTTCTAGAAAATTGCAGATCCTTATTCTCAATTAACACATGCATAGTTTACAAGAAGACCTGCCTTCTTGTTAATGCAATATCTAGATCTCTATCGTTTTGCATAGGCTCTGTTTAGCAACTTCTTCCACTAACATCTCTAACAGAACTCACTTAGATGGTCTTACGACCATGGCGTCAGCAGCTTCACTCTCCAATGGCTGAAGTTAGAATTCCTTTGCCGGGTTCTTGCACGGAGCAGCTTCAAGTAATCTGTCTTCAACTGGGATGGGGCATCTTCTGAGTAGTTACTTTTGCATCCCTTGGTTAGCAAGGGATGCGACCCTTCTTTTCCATGGTTCTAACAGCAGACCTTTACAGTGACATAGCTTCTCCTTCAGAGCCTCAGCAGTGCTTACAGCAACTCTTCTCCAGTCTCTGAGATAGGACTCCTTGCTGTCCTTCATGGTTGTTGTCCAGAACTTGAGACCAACCAGTTAGGGAAGGAAAAAAAAGAAAATAAGAGAGGGAATAAGAGAGGGGAAGAGAATCTTCACTCGTAGGGGAGTTGAACTGGCTTTACACTTTGATGGCTAGAAATCAATTTATAGCCTCACCTTAAGGTATTTGTGTAAACTAAATTTTATCCAAATAACTTTAAAATAAAGAAACTAGTTACAACTCTAAAAAAAAAAAATAATAAATAAAAAATAAAAAATAAAAAATAAAAAAAAAACGAAGCGGGCAACGGGATTTCAATTCCGACAACAATTATCTTGTTGTGAAGAGTCAGAGATAAACAAATGACTCTTAGACTTATGTTGATTTGGTTGGGTTTCAAGGTGGGCTTGGAGTAACAATTTCGCTGCACTATGACTTTGAGTTCATGAATAAGATAGGCTTTGAGCAACTATTTTATTCCATCATGATTTTGAAGTTCATGAATTTGAAACATGAAGCATCCCTTGCTAATAAGTCAAGGATTTTTTCATTTACCCCTCCTTAGACCCTCTGTTGTTGGACCATAATTTACTTGAGCCATTCTTTCTCATTAACAATAAATCCAACCTAGTTACCCATTTGAAAGCATTTATGATACCGGAGGAAGCCCAAACCACCATGAAAAACACAATTATCATTACTGAATTCAAAAGGGGGTACAAAACGAGACTTTATCTAACATGAAATAAACGACAACAAACATACAAATGGAAAGGACGAGACGAAGAAAATATAAGATAGAAAGCAACACAAAATACATATGCAACCATCTAGGAAACATGGACAAAATTGGTAGTCGGAAAAGGGTTGGCTACTGCTTGAAGGTGGTTAGAGGGAGTTGCGGTGGCTTGGGGCAGCAGTAAACCGATGGCGGGGTCTGGACAACAGGGCTATACAGCAGTGGGGACAGGCGTCGGGGGCTGGACAACTACCGTGATAGCTGTCAATGGCTGGACATCTGAAGGGATAGGCCCGAGAGGGGTTGTTAGCAGCAGGGGCAAGTTGGGGAGGGTTTTTGCGGACTGCTGGAGGGTGTAGGAACTACTGCGGAAAGCACCAAACAACGAGGAAGGTGTCAGTGCGGCTAGGGACAATAGGATAGCAGCTTGGAGATTTTGAACCGTAACAGGAAGTTGTAGCAGGACTGCTGCTAGAATGAGGAGGGAGTGCTTGGAGGGCAACAGGAAGAAGACTGAAGGGCAATGTTCAGCTGTTGGAATAGGGGTCCGAGGGGCTACGGAAGATAAATGTATTTTCGAGGTCGAGCTACAGCTGGAGCACCACTCAGACCCTTGGAGACGATCACCACCTTGGAAAAAATTACAGCCGAAGCTGCTTCTCGTCGTCGGGTACATTCCTCGAAGGGGAAGAATGCGTCAAAGACTGCACTCAGAAATATATACTCATCAAAATCTGCTCTAACTTAAGTAAACAATTTGCATAAGAGTTACTAGGTAATTTAGGTAAGTGGAAGAATAGGTAATAAATAAATAAAAGAGGGGTGATGAGAAATGAAGGAATTTGAAATTGTGATAGAAGTACAAGGTGGTATCTAAGGTAGGGAATCAAAATATTCAATAGGGACTTGCGGTTATTGTAGCAACTACAGTAACGCTTCTTCGGTACTATAGCACCTTAAGTACCTCGTTCCAATTTTAGCTCTCGTGTCAATCTACTAGGGTTGGGGAGCTTCGATCTTATTCGTCGAAGCTTTTAGGACAGAAAAATTTTGTTGAGGGTGGCTTGGGTGGGGGCTGATGCTAGGAAACCCTAGGATAGCACTAGAGTTGGGCTAGCTCTGATACCAAATGATACCGGAGGAAGCCCAAACTACCATGAAAAACACATATTATTACTGAATTTAAAAGGGTACAAAATGAGACTCTTGTGAATATGAAATAAACAACTGCAAACATACAAATGGAAAGGACAATACAACACTGCAAAAATATAAGATAGAAAGTAACACAAAATATATAAACGACCATCTAGGAAACAAGGACAAGGACAGTGGTCGAAAAAGGGCTGGCGACTACTGGAGGGTGGCAGGAGGGAACTGCGGTGGCTTGGGGAAGCAGCAGACTGATGACGAGGTCTGGACGACAGGGTTGGACGACAACGGGGATAAGAGTCGAGGGCTGGACAACAGTTATGATAGGTGTTGGTGGCTGGACAACAGCAGGGACAGGTCTGGGAGGGGTTGTCTGCGGCAAGGGCTAGTTGGGAAGGGTCTTGGCAGACTGCTGGAGGGTATAGGGACTGCTGCAGAAAGCGCCAAACAACAACAAGGAAGGTTTCAGTGGGGCTGGCGCGAACAATAAAGCGGCTTGGAGATGTCAAAGTGTATAAGGGAAGGTGTCGCTGAGGCTGAGGGCATTAGGATTGCTGTTGGAATGAGGAGGGAGGGCCTGAAGGGCAGCAATTAGAAGATCGAAGGTCGATGTGCGCATGCTAGAATAGGGGCCGGAGGGACTGCTGAAGGATAAATATCTCGTCGTGGTCGAACTACAACTGGAGCACCGCTCACTGTCGGATGTAGCTCTTACAAGGGAGATGCCTAGAGGCACACCTTAAATTAAAAAAAAAAAACAAAGAACTGATTGAGACCTAAGCAAAAACATGTATAAGTAGAGGGACGACTAGGAGCTATTCATGGTAAGATCTGAGAAAGGAAGGGAGGAAAATGGTTGGAATTGACGAGGGGCAATGGAGGCGAGATCGCAACGACTAGGAGAGCAGAAGAATAGGGCACGGGAAGGAGTTGATCACAGAAGAAGAGCCTAGGGGAATCACATGTCTTAAGTTATATTTGATTGGTCCCGATCCAGCAGGAAGGTTGGACCGACCCATTTTTCACTCATTGTTGATAGACTTGAATAGCCTGCGTCAATCTTCTGGGGTTGGAAGAGCTTCGTCATTATTTGATGAAGCTTCTGGTTCCTCGTAGTATGGAGTGAGGTCTGCGACATTGAATGCTGTTGAAATTTTGGACTCCTAGCAGGCCAATTATTTATGCATTGTCGTTCAATTTTTCTAAAATGCGGAAAGGTTTATAGGCTCTGGACTTGAGTTTGTTGTAAGCTCTTACAGGAAGTCGTATCCATATGATGCTATCTTCTTGAAATGTTACATTTTTCCTAGAATTTTGCGTGTGTTTGATATTTATGGTTTTGTTTAGTAATCGCCTTCAACAACTCCTAGAAATCGCCTTCCGATTCCTCCCAATCATACTCCAGTCGCAACTCTTCTTCTCGTGCCTCCATCAATTCACATGCACCTCTCTAAGTAGGCCACAACACCTTCCAATCCCTTGCAACCCTCATCTCGTCATTGCCTCCCTTTTTGGCACCTCCTACCGCAGACTGCCGACCTCTCTAGGTCTTCCCAACGCCACTCCAGCCACCGCAGATCACTCTGACATTCTTCCCACCGCTGCCGACTTTTCCCCAGCCTTCTTGTTGACTTCTCAGCTGCCCTTCGACGCTGTCCGGGACTATTCTAGCTCTTTTGTGTTTCTTGTATTATTACTTGCTGAGTCGTTGTGTCTTAGATTATTGTTCACTTGTTTGTGCTGCTTCTAGTTTAAGAGTCGATCTTGTACATCCTTCGAAATCGGCAATAAAATTGTGGCATTTGAGTCGAGGTTTTGATTAATTTTGGCATCACTTTATATTACAAACTCCAAAGTTTCTCATTCTTTTTGTAACTAGGTTATGATTTCCGATTTGATATGCTCTTTTTAGTAGTTGTCCTCAGTTAACAATATGATTCATACAAAGCTGTTTACTTTCTATTGATTTTCCTTTTTTTTAATTTATTGTGGAGCTTTTCTATGCTAATCTTGTCAATTATGTGTTTGTTCATTTCCATATTTAATTTGTCATTTAGGCAGTTTATTATTACTACTTCCATGTCTGTGTAAGTTTCTTGATTCTTTCATAAAGAGAGTCATATCTCCATTTTTTGCAATTTCTTAATATGTTTTTGTGTCATTGCAGGAAAACAAACTAAAAGAGTTTGAAATGGCTGCAAAACGGCTTAATAATGCTCGATTGGTGAGTTCTAAAATATTTCTAGTACTTCTCTTCTTTGCTCAGTGAAATTATGGTCTATCCTTGCTTGTTTTGGTTTTTGTGAAAATTTATCTAGAAAGAAGCAATAATAGTATCATTATTGTTACTATGTGAAGTGCTTTCTTTTCTGATATAAAATGGATATACGATATCAATTTTAACTCGTACATGTTATTGTGTGGTATCTTCTTTGAATGTTAACTTGCACTTAATGCATTAGACATTATCTAAGTTTCCCCTTCTTTTTGCAATGTTTTTTTTTAATTTATTTCTTACACAATTTTGTGGGATTTGTACATGTGTAATAAAAAAAAAGCTACTTCTCCAAGCCTTATCTATAAATCTAAGCACTTTTTTTTGGGACGAGGGGGGAGGCGTGGGGAGGCGGGTTGTGAAGAGGGTTAGATCACTTTATTTTAATAAGATTTTCTGTGTGAATAGATTGGTACTTATTTTTACATTTTATAGGCAAATGACACATTTTTAGTTATCCATCCCACTCATAAACAACCATTATCAATTAAGGATGTCACTTAGGTCAAATTTTTGACCTAGATTTGGTAGTTTGATGTGAACTTAGTTGAGTAATTCTTGGAATGGATATAAAATTTATCATGATGCTATTGTTTCGTCCATATAGTAACCAACCCAATGTGCCAACATCATATGTTTTTGAGTTGGTTAGGGAGTTCGATTAGCAACCATTGATTTCCTCCTTTCAGGTGTCCTAAATAGGCCTCACAAAAATATATGTTTTAAAGTTGTGCTTTAGTGACTAATCATGACTTGTTCATTGGTAGAGGGCTTACTATATTAATTTTATTGAATAATTCATAAGCATACTATATACTTGCTTGCAATTCAAAGATTCCAACAATAACCGACAGTAGTGTCGAATCTTGGCATTACTACTAGGTGCTTAAGAGTTTTAGTTTTATTCAAAGGAGCACTTCTAAGAAACATGTGTGTTTTGGTTGGTTTGGTCCTAATTGATTGACTGCTTTGGAAAGTGAGCTTACTTGATGTGTATGTATAATGATTTGATTGTAGCTTTTCTTGAGAAATACAACAACAACAACATTAACAACAACAAAAGACCTTTATCCCACCAAGTGGGGTTGACTACATGATTCTTTGTCTCCATTGTATTCTTATTGGGTGTCATATTTTTATTTATTTCTAATAAATTAAGATCATTTTTTTATACAACATGCCAAAGTCTTTTTAGTTTTATCTCTACCTTTCTTTACACAAGTCAAATCTAAAACATCTACACTCCTAACAAGACCATCAGATGGTCGATGTTTAACATAACTAAATCATCTAAGGCGAACCTCTCTAATCTTAATTTGTCACTAGAGCTACTACTATCCTTTCATGAATATACTCGTTTCACATTTTGTTTCTAATTGTAAAGCAACTCAACCACTTGAGCATTCTCATCTTAGCAACGCTTAATTTTATGTTTCTCTTTTACATTCCAACATTATGCGCCATAATGCATTGTAGGTCTCACCACTAAAATTTTCATTAAAGTCTAAGCAATACTTTTTAATCATACAATAGGCTCGTTGCATTTCACCACTTAAACCATCCAACTTGAATTCTACTACTAACATCATTACCATCATTTTGAACAATAGACTCAAAACATCTAACATGTTAGCTTCTATTATAGCATTAGTTTTGGAGCTACTCAAATGAACACTTAAACCATCCAACTTGAATTCTACTACTAACATCATTACCATCATTTTGAACAATAGACTCAAAACATCTAACATGTTAGCTTCTATTATAGCATTAGTTTTGGAGCTACTCAAATGAAGCCTTTAAATTCCAAAATTGATCTCCATAAATCAAATTTTTCTTTAACTCTCTCTAGTCTTATCCATAAGAAGGATATCATCAACACGAATCATACACCGAGGTACATCCTCCTATAAATATCTAGTTGGAACATCCAGATCTAAAATAAAAAGGTATTTGATCCTAGATGTAATCCAACTGAGATAGGAAAATACTTGGTCATTTCTCCTTGTGTTTGAACATAAAGAACATCTCCAACATATATCTTTAATGACTTGGTATAAGCAATATCAACATCTTTATTCTCTAAAACTCTCTATTGTATTTCTCTTGGAACCTTATCATAAGTTTCTTTCTTAATCAACAAAAATTATGTGTGGATTATCCTTATTCTCTTTGTACTTCTCCATCAAACCTTTCAATAAATGTATAGCTTTTTTTTGAGAGATATTATGTTTAATTTAAGCAGATTACTTTAATGATGTTTGAAGGTTTATTTAGATTTAGGGTCGAGAATTTTTATGTGTTTAAACCTCTATAACTATTTCTATCACTCAGAGAGTATTCTCGATTAAGTAATTTGCCTATGTTCAATGGTTGGCTTAAATTCTGTTTTTATGTATGAATTATGTTGGGCGGGTGAATTTTGGAGGCGATGATGGCAGACTTGATCAAGATCCTATGGCTGTATTATTCCGGGAATATCATTGGCTGTCTGGGTACTTTAGAGACTTTGAGTAATATCATTCGGGGAGCTTAATTAGCTTCCATGAGTTGCCACTTCGCAAGTGTCATGAGTAGATTGGGATGAACTTGTATGTCTCAAACATGTACTGTTCAAACTAGCATTAAATCGTTTACTAACAGACAGCTAGATGTAGCACTTTTCGTTGAGTAATTTAGAAGCACAAAGACATGATTGCTTTCGGTTTAGAGGTGCTAGACATGATTGATAAGAGCTCGAATACATAACATAAACATCATTTACCCACAACTTTAAGTTTGAATCGTTTGCCTTTAACTAAGAAATGTTTTGATTTGTGTGATTTTAGTTGATGGTTTTGTTAGTGTGTGGTTTGTCCGAGTATAGGTTGGGTTGTGACTTAATCTATTGGAAGGTTGGGTTGTGACTTAATCTATTGGAAGGTTGGGATTAGTAAAGGTGGGGCTTACATCCGTTAGAAGATGCAAACTTTATTTAATGAGTTTGTTTATTTTGCCTTAACTTTGAATTATGTGAGATAGAGATATATTCATAGTGAGATCTAAGTTTAAATTTAGCAGGTAGATTGAGTGTATTTTAATCAGTTTTTTTCTGATGATAGATTTATAGTTCTTTTGCCATGGGGTCAAGTCATTTTATAGGCATATGCAGCATTGTTAATTACCCATCCCACTAAAGGGCAACTATTATCATATAAGAATGTCACTTAGGGTCAAATTTTAGCCTAGATTTGGTAGTTGGATGTGAATTTGATTGAGTAATTGTTGTGATGGATATATAGACTGGATTATGATGCTATGGTTTCTTATTTTTTGGTATACCAACAACCCCAATGTGCCAAATCAGAGGATTTGGAGTCGCAATGTTTAGGGAGTTCTACTAGCAACCATTAGTTTCCTCCTTTTAGGTGTCTTAAGTAGTCCGTGTGGAAATATATATGTTTCAAAGATTTACTTTTATGACTGACTTTGGTTCTTTCATTGGTAGAGGGCTTATCATTCTAGCTTTATTGAATAATTCTTAGTCACACTATATAGTCGCTCGTAGTTACCAAAAATGACTGACAAGAGTGCAGAGACTTGGCATTACGATCAGCTGCTTAGGAGTTTTTAGTTTTTTTCAAAGAAGTACATTTAAGAAACATGTGTTCTTTGGTTGGTTTGGTCCTAATTGATTGACCGCTCAGGAAAGTCAACACTTTTGAGCTTCCTTGATGTGTATATAAAATGATTTGATGGTAGTTTTTCTTGGGACATATTAGGTTTAATTTATTCAGTTTACTTTGATGGTGTTTCAAGGTTTATTTTGATCTGGGGTTGAGACATTTATGGGTGAAGACCTCTATAATTGATTATTTCCTCTCACTCATAAGGAGCATTCTTGATTAAGCAACTTTCATAGGTTCAATTATTTGCTTAAACTTTATTTTTATATGTAAATTATGTTGAGTGTGGTTCAGTTTTGGAAGTGATAATGGCAATCTTGATCAAGATCCCATTTTTGTATCATTCTGAGTATATTTTTGGACCCGTCTATCAATGTTAGACTTTTAGTAATATCATCCGAGAGCTTAATTAGCAACCATGAGTTGCCTCTTCTCTAGTTTCATTAGATTAGCGTGAAAGTGTATGTCTAGAAGGTGCACTTCTGAAAGTAGCATTAAATCATTTACTAACAAACAGCTAGTTGTTGAACTTTTCATTGAATAATCTAGAGGCACGTAGCATGCCCACTTTCGGTTTAGAGGTGCTAGACATGATTGATAGAGCTCCAAGGCATGGCATAACGATCAGTTGCCCAAGACTTTGAGCTTGAATTGATTGCATTTGTCTAAGACATGTTTTGGTTTGGGTGATTTTAATTGATGGGTTTGTTAGTGTGGGGTTTATAGTGTAGGTTGGGTTGATGCTTAATCTATTGGAAGGTTGGGATTAGTTGAGGTGGGCCTTACATCCATTGAAAGACAAATTTTGTTTACAAGTTTGTTTATTTTGTATTAACTTGAATTATGCGAATGTGATTTACATCCATTGTATGATTCAGGTTTTATTACCGTGTTTGTTGCTTTCTGCTGACTTCAATTATTTGGGATTTGGTCTTCATGTTTTGGGAGACGCATGGGTTGATTTATCAAGTTTGTTGGCTTCGTTTTTACCCAATTTAACTTGATGGGGCTTACATCCTTTGGAAGATTTGAAAACGGCTTGCAATATCGTGGAAAGGAAAGCCCAATGATGGGTCTTACTACATTACCATGTAAGTGATGTAACTCTAGTAGTTACATTAGTTTGAGGGGCTTTTTTTATTTTATTTTGGCATATTCATTTGGTATATGACTTACATCTTATGGAAGGCTCAAGAGTGGGAGTTAATATCCATGAATTATTAAATTATTATAAAGTTTTTGAAATACTAGCCTTAGGTGTTTTACTTGGCATAACTATTAATTGTATTATATTGAGGTTGAAGACTTCAAATTAATATATAATATAACTATAAGGCGAACATTCAATCCATCCACTCTTTTTAAGATGCTTGCAACAAGCAGCATACATGTAATTTTAATGTCTAAAGACTTTCAGATGGTTAGAAATTAAATGCATGGGTATTTTATGTTATTTAAAGTTTGTTTATTAAAGTAAATGGGCTCAATTGGGACTTTGTGTCCTTTGATAATCATAGTTTTTTTATGCACTTCATGAATGTCTAAATTATTATAAAAATTTATGAAATACTTTTCATAATATTTTTCAAGATATCATAATCAATTCTTTGATGTTGTGTTTGAAGACTATATATAATGCAACAAATACAAAAATATTCTCCAAGAAGGTTTTTCCATTCTTTTTGACTTTCTTATACTAGCAGCAATAATGATTTAAAATACTTCTAAGAGCGATTTGTTAATTGCGTCAAAATATTCACAACGGATGGCTCCAATTTTATGAGAAGTTAGCTGATATTTCTATGAGCAAATACTTTTTGATGGATCTGGAGTAAATGCATGTATATCTGATGCTTGCAAAGTTTATTTAATGATTTTGATTGGTGAAATAATAAGAAATTAGAATTTCATAGGGGGTTTATATGATTTTCGATCACCTTTGTTATCCATAAGTCTTATTTATGATATCATAGCCAATTATATGACATTGAGTTTGTGGTCTATATAAAGTAATAAGTGTAAAGTATAACTGTAACGGGAATATTTAATTAATACTTTATTTTTAAGTTTGTTATAATTAACTAACATCATATAGGATTTCATGAGGTTTTAATGCTTTTAAAAAGTGTTTGTTAATCACATCTAGATGCTGTCAATGTATGGCTCCAATTTCATGCGATGATGATTGTGATTTCAAAGAGGAATGACTTTCAAATAGATTGAGAAATTACTTGGGTTGTTAATGACATCTAAAGCTTATTCATTAATTATGATTGGTAAAATGAATGGTTAAAATTCGAAATAAATGGTTAAATTATTATGAAAATTTATGAAGTACTATTTATAAGTACTTTTCTTGGTCTGACAAATAATTATGTAATATTGGTGTTAACGATCATATAAAGCAGTAGTTGCAAAAATTTAACTACTCATTTGGCCTGATAAATATCTGCACTACAACATAAGTTGGAATATTAGTAGAGTTTTAGGCCAACTTGTATGTGTGGGATTGCAAATCTGGCCGTCCATCGTAGCGAACAAGGTGACAATTCATTTTTTAGGTTTCAAGAGGAATAATTGAATTCAATTTGTAGAATATCTTCCTTAATATCATTGCTACTGATATCGAAACATGGTTAATTTGTGAATATTATACTCTAAAACTTTTAGTCATGTAATTAATATGTAACTAGTTGTTTCCAAAGGTAGAAATTATCTTGAGCAACCAAGATTTTTGCTTTGTAAATAGAGTTGCATGGTCCTTAATGAAGTAGACATAAAATCATAATAAGTTCTCTGTTCAAGGGGAATATACAACATATATAATCCAAGTTATAGTTTTGTTAGTTTTTTTTAAGAGTCGAACGCGAATCTTTCAATATACGGCATTATTAAGATTAATTTATTTCAGTCAACACCTTATTTCAATAAGGTATTATTTTATCTTTTATTGATGTTGATTCATGATTATCTATTTAGTATTCATTGAAGTTACATACCTTGTATAAAACCCTTATTTACTAGTCCTAGCTTCTCTTTTTTTAAAAAAGCAATCGCTCTATTTTTTATCAATTTTTAATGTCTTTTAATTATTGACATACACATACCTACTAAGTCCAATAAGGCATTATTTTATCTTCTATTAATGTTGATTCATGATTATCTATTTAATATTCATTGAAGTTACATACCTTGTATAGAACCCTTATTTACTAGCCCTAGCTTCTCTTTTTTTTAAAAAAGCAATCGCTCTAATTTTTATCATTTTTTAATGTCTTTTAATTATTGACATACACATACCGACACATGTTCGGCAATCTGTTCGAACTTTTTTGCATTTAAGCTGTACTGAATTTATTTTGTGCATTTAGACTTACAAGATGCATTCTTAACATTGGCCTTTTTGCTGCCTAACATTGATTCTTTAGATTATTATGATTCATGAGTTTTGGTTTAGAGTCTTTTAGTATAGTTGTGGTCAAGGACTTGAGTATTCTTGAAATACATTTTGGTTATTTTTATACATTATTGTATGATTTATGGATTGATTATTTTGATTCTTTAGAGTTTGAGACGACACATCATGATTGATAGCGAACTACGCGAACCCGTGACTAAAGAAGAGATTGTGGCTGAGGTATTATGGCTACTACAATCCAAGCCCATCCCTTTACATGATATTTATATTTTAAATTGCAACTTCATTTCAACTCCATGTCAGCGACTTATAACTGCATGCAATGTTAAGAGCTAAGCATATGAACAACATATTCATCTAATATAGTTGTCTTCTTCATGCATACTTCTCTTTAAAGTTTGGTTTTGTGAAACAGGTGGCTCGGCAGCTTTGTGTAAACATCCATCCTGATAATATTCACTTACCTTCCCCCCTTTCTTCACTTGGCGAATACGAGGTTGTTCTTCGGCTACCTCGGGAGATTCCTCGCCCGGAGGGATTGTTACAATGGACTTTACATGTGAAGATTAGACGAAAATGAGTGAACTCAGGTTGGTTCTCTAGGATGATTCCTTTTTGTCATGTGCAAATACTGAAGGTGCATTCCACATTGCTGTAATTTTTTTTAAAGAAATTGTAAGATATCAATGTCTTTGTTGGGTTTGAATGCTCACTCTCAAAGAATAAATAAATAAATAAATAAATAATTGTCTCTTTGAGATAAATTTTTAATTTTTGCTTTATTTTTTAAAATGTTCATTTAATATTTTTTTTTTTTACTTTTTTATTTTTGTTTTAAAAAGTAAATTATAATATATTTTTAAAAATACTTGAAGCAACTTGAGTGTTTTTGAAAGCAATTATATTTTAATCAATTAGATTAAAAAATATTTTATTTCTAATTAAAATATAAATAAAATAAAATAAAAATAAAAAAAATAGAAAATATAATATGGAAGTGATCCTCAATTTCCTCTTAAGGGCTCGTTTGAGGCGATGTTCGGGTAACGGCACGGCGTGTAGCTGTGATTTGAGGCCATTTGGGCAGCGACACGTCACATTTCGAATAAAATGCAGGCCGAGGGTTTGGGCCTGTGGCTCGCGTTTCTCACTTCTTTTTTTGCAATGGCGTCCTTCGTGTTCTTTCGTGATTCTTCTGTTCAAACCCTCAACCCGAAATCTTCTCGATCTCACGCAAGGCTGCGATCTCCTGCTTCCTCTTCCTCTTCTCCCGCGTTTCTCACAGTATACTTGGTTCCTCTCTTCTGTTCCACAACGGTAAGCAATTCATTTGTTTTTTGGAAAGGAATTTGTGGGAACATGAAATGAAAGATTTTGACAAGTTCTTTAAAGGCAAGTATCCATGTGAATGCTTGTTCTTTAAATGTTTTGATGTTAGATATGTAAATACTTAAGAATTGAGTGGTATTAATGTGAATGCTTATTATTTGCAATATTGTCCATCCAAGATTTGTTAAGGTAGACAAGTTAATGTTCAATCCTTAGTAAATTCATTCCATAGCACAACACAAGAGTACTAAAAGATAGAAAAAGCTTCATGTAGGTTATCCATCAAATTGTGAAAGTAAATATGGAAATTTAGATGTGAGACATGTAGAATACATAAGAATTTTGTGATATGCCCCAAAATCATTTTGTTGTAGCTTTGGTGGTGTGTTGGCTTTATTTAGGGTGACAATTTGTTGTGCTATCTGTGTTTGTCGTGGTATTTATGCTTGTCGTGGAGTATGTCGCGGTCCTGCAGTAATTTCTTGGTGACTTGATGTTTGGGTAGGTAAATTTTATGAGAAAAAAGGAATGTAGCAATTACAAACGTGAATACATATCACTTTGGAGGTCTACATGAGGATTTTACAAAAAAAAAAAAAAAAGGAGAAAAAAAGGAAAAATAAGTTGCTTGGAGTGAGGGTTGTGGCTTGGGGTGATGCCTGTGGCTTGGGGTGATGTTTTGGGGTTGTGCCTTTGGGTGTGGTTGTGGCTTCGGGTTGTGGATGTGGCTTGGGGTGGCTATGGGTTGGGGTGATGGTCAAGGGTTGTGGCTTGGGGTGATGTTTTTGGGTTGTGCCTTTGGGTGGTGGTTGTGGCTTGGGGTTGTGGATGTAGCTTGGGGTGGTTGTGGTTTGGGGTGGTGGCTGTGGCTTGGGGTGAGGGTTTTGTTGCTGTGGCTTGGGCCACAAAGTGGTGTTTGTGGATAGGGGTGAGGGTTTTGTGGAGGATTGAAGTGGTGGCAGTGGCTTGTTTGCTATTATGTGCTTGTTGGGTTGTTTAGATCAATGAGAAAAGTCTCATTATAACTTATTTTGCAATTGATTTATTTTGTCGAGACTAGTAGAGTGCATTTTTTTTCTGTGTTGTTCTTTTCACTTATCTTAGCAATGCTTTGCTAGTTGTGGCTTGGGGTGAGGATTTTGTGGCAATTTTTTTTTATGTAACTTCGCTATTTTATTGTAGTAATATAATTGCTAATACGATCAAAGGGACTAGTACATTCATATTTAGGGACATTGAAATGAAAATAATATTTGTGACCTTTGCATAAAAGAGATCGATCTGGGAAATAAACATACTACCTATTTCAACAAGGGTGACAAAATATTATAAAAAAAATTAAAGAAAATACACCCAGAGAGTATGATATGATGCAATTGAAAAATAAGTGAGATCAACTTAAGAAAGATTGAAAATTTTGGAAGAAATTGAAAAGTGGGCTTGGGATGGGATCCAGTGAAACGAACCATAGATGCTCACGAGGCGTGGTGGACAAAAAGTCTTGCGGTAAGCATTTTTGACATGTTCCCTCTATTTGGACAATTTCAATTTTTTTTTAATTGAGTGCCATTTATGAATTTGTAGGCGGTTCCCGCTGCAAAGAAATTTAAAATTTGTGTAGTTGAGCCTGAGTTGGAGGAGAAGCTGGATCGAATGTTCGGGGGTGTCGTTGCTACAGGCAAGTATGCGTGTGCCCCCAACGATACAAGGTTTGGTGGCACCCCGAGAACTTGCGAGCCAAGGGATCGGGTGATTCAATTGAAGTCCCCAGCCCAGAGTAGCATGAATTTGAGTCTACATCTCGTTCTAAGCGTTCGAGGGTTGAGAATAAAAAGAAAGTTGGGGCTGCCTTTCTTAGAAGCTAAATATCACAGTTGGTGTCTTCTTGCAGCGGTGAACCCTACACACTTCATGTAAGTTTTATCGAGCAGGCCCTGGAAACTCTAAATGGGTCCAGGGAAATTTTTGAGGATGAACCAGTGCACTTGTTTACAATAGAGTTGCTTGAAGGTCTGACTCGTAGAGATTTTTTTTTAAGGTGCTCGATGCTTGCAGGGTGGCATATCTACGACGTTTTTATGATCACATGAACATTTGAGAGACTTTTTTAATTTACAATCTCTTGAAAAATTCATATTTATCTATTTTTTCGTTATGATTTGGATATTTAAACTACTTGGAACTTCGCTTATTCAGTGCATCTTTATTTTTTTGTTGCTCGTAACCTTACATGGTTGTAGCTAATTCATTAACGCTTCTGTGTTAGGTTGCGCGATACTGATCTACATGGATGCAACTGAAAGAAAGCGCGGAAGGAGAATTGCAGTTGTCGTATGCTTGACCTATGAGTATTACAACTCGTACGTTGATCGGTCTCCATGCATGACATCCTCATATGTTGGGGACAAATGGGTTGAGGAGCTGCTTGCGGGCCACCAAACGTGATTTAGCAATATGTTCTGCATGAGATAAGCGATATTCATTAATCTGTTAGAGGAACTACATGGATCTGTCAAGATAACTTCGCGAGAGGTTTTGGCGATAAAACCGTACATACTATCCCAAAATGAATCAATGTGAGGGGAAATGAAGCAATTTCAATACTCTTCCGAAACAATTTACAGGTACTTCTCAGTGGGCTTGAAGGCACTCGTGAGCTTCTCTTCACATGCCATCAAATCTACTGATCCTACGTTCGAACGGACCCCTACAGAGATTTCACACAATGTACAGTACATGTCGTTCTTTAAGGTAATGTCTCAAATTCATTACATTCAATTTCGAAAAATGCAACATTTTTAGGAACTCAATCTTATTTTACCAGGATTGTATTGGAGCAATTGACGAAAGACATGTTGATGCACGTGTTCTAAATAATGAGAATGTTGCATTCATCGGCTGTTGTGGGAACCCGAAGTAGAATGTCATGGTTCTTTGCTACTTCAACATGTGTTTCACTTTTGTTATGACAGGTTGGGAGGGCAGTGCACATGACAGTAGAGTTTTCAAAGCTGCGATGCAGAATGCCACTTACAACTTGTCACATCCTTCTACAGGTATGCTTGAGACTGAGCTAATGTCAATTAACTTTTTCCTCAATATAATTATGCAATTCATATCAGACAAATACTACTTGGTTGATGTTGGATATCCATAACAACTTGGGTATCTCAAGTCATATCCTGATACGAGGTATCACATACCAGACTTTGAGCGAACAAGTAACTTAACACGAGGCATAAAAGAAATGTTCAATAAAAGAGACAAAAGAAATGTTCAATAAAAGACATTCCTCGTTACACTGTGTCATTGAAAGGACTTTTGGTATTTAGAAGAAGAAATCGGTTATGCTTCGAGATATACCTTCTTACTCGTTTCCCAAATAGGTACAGATTGTGATTGCCACGATAACTCTCGATAATTACATTCGGTGACATCTTTCCCGCAACAACATCGACTTATGTCGGGCGGACCAGAATCATGAGCGTGTACCTGCCGAAGTTTTTGAGTACCCTCTTGAGCATTTTTTGTCACAATATGAGAATGACGTTTCCACCACCTGTACTGTAGACATGGAAGGTGCAAGCGAGATGACAGAGTTGAGGGAATAAATTACAGTTGACCTCACTTTTGGTTGAGGTCTAGAAACTTCTTTAGTAGCCTAGGTCTAGCCATAAGACTTTCCTATTGACTAGTCTTAGAAAATTAGAAAAGGTACCCCCACCATTAGAAATTCAAAACTTTTCTTTTTACTCAACTGGAAATTCCACATAATGATCTTAACCTCTAGCATTTAGCAGATAAGATCATTATAAGAGAATTCAAGAAGAATCCCTATAGGATTACTTGGCTTTAGGATTGACCCAGGGGGTTGACTTGGAACTAGGGTACACCATATCTTCA